AGGCAGCATAGAGAGGGTCCTGGGTTTCTCCTGTGTTTATCTACATTGCAGTGGTTTTCTTTTCTCAGCCATGGTCTTTGCATATCCCTCAATCTGCTCTTTGACTCCTCTGCACTCAAAGACTGGATAGTCAGAATGCAGGAAGCCCCATTATATTTCCAACTCCTTTCTGAGAACTACGTTGGCCAACAGCGGCGCTCTGAGTCTCAGATGCAGAACTGCAAGAAACATCTTGAAGAAATAACTTCAGGGTTTTTTTCCCCCCATTTTGATTACTCTGATAGTAAGGGACAGTTTGCTGAATCTATACAAGATTTGGTAAATAATGTATGTTTATGGGTGTGTGTGTGTGTATTTCATTAGTAATAGAAGCAATAACTCATCTATCTGATAAAAAATCTCAGTACCAAAGTAACCACAGTTCCTTTCATCAGCACTCCTATCTTTTCTGAAATCCATAACTGGGAGACCCTTTCATTAGTATGATCAACCTGGCATAAAAGCAAAGTGTGTGCAAGTTTCTGAGTGCTCCAGAACTCTTCATTTGGCAAGAAGGAAGAAAAAGTGTTTTGTGAATAGGCAAGACTGTCCAAAAACAGATGTTTAACCATGAATTGTGCAGTTGATAGTCACTAGAAGGTAGTTGTGGACCAGTGTTGGTGGTGCCAGATTACACCCACTTTTCAGGGAGAAAGGGAAAGATTTTTGTGAAATTGCAATGTAACCTAGTGAATGGCATTTTGCACTTAAAGTAAAATTGGGAAATAACACCAATGTCAGTGTCTGGAAGTGCTGTCCCTTTCATATGGCCCGGAATAATTTCACACATTATATATTAGGATGTTTGGCTCTACTGGTAAGTGTACAATACACAGAAATTTGCAGCTGAATGACCATGGTGGTATTCTAATACATTTCATGCCTGTTTCTATGAAATTAAAACTTTAAATTTAGGAATGTATATGTATGACACTAAATTTCTACTCATAAATATGCATGATTTTGAGAGACCATATATTTCCTGGTGAGGGATTTTTAATAAACCTTTTCAGAGTGTGCAATTGGACCCTCTAAAGCCTTTGGCACTGTGATGTAGGACAGAATTCCTCCAAACTGAAGCTGCTATGTACGCGTTCAATGGAAAAAATGGAAATTATATTCTTTAAATATAGGATAACCAAATATAAAGATTTTCTTTTGCTTGGAGCTCTGTTTTCTTCGTTTGGCAATCTAGTATACTCAGGAATATCACCAATGCTTTGAAAGAGTCTTGGGAAACCTGGTTAGAGGTTAGTTGGTTAATACCCCATTAGTTCTCTGTTCTCCTCACTGTTGTAATGATGTAGAAGAAATGAAACTCTATTCCCTTCTTATCGTTAAATTAAACCTCCTTATTTACTGAAAACTGAACAGCAATGAACTGTTTATGGCGGGCCCTATATGGAACAAGAGTGATTTAGACCTTGCCAAAAGTTATTGTTGAGTGCTAATTTTAAAGCAGTATTTCTCAATCTCAGCAGCTTTAAGATGTGTGGACTTCAACTCCCAGAATTCCCTAGTAGGAAATTCTGGGAGTTGAAGTCCATACATCTTAAAGTTGCTGAGGCTGAGAAACACTGTTTTAAAGTGATAGAAAGAGACTTAATGGCAATTAATCATATTATTATTCGTGGACCACCAACAATGTCTGGGAAGAAGGAATGGATGATTTCATCCTCTTCTTGCCCTCAGTCCACTGCAAATGCAACCTCTGCCTGCTCTATATTAAAAGTAGTGTTTTTTGGCTTGCGGTAGCTCAAGCACTGCAATCCAGTTTGTCTGTTGTGGTTTAGTTTCTGTTAGGGAAACCCCTCTACTTCAAATGGTTACTGCACATAGTGACAGGAATAGCCCATCAACTGGGTTGCCACCCTGTGGCTCTCTAATCTCTGCTGCAACAGCTGTTAACAATAATGTTCCAGTAGCATAGCAGTTAGAGCTCCTGTCTAACCTACAAAGGATGGTTTGAAACACAGCAGAAACATTTTTTAAAAATTACTATTTTTCTTCTTCTGAGCAATCCACTTTTTCATTGGGCTTTTTAATTTTTTTCAAGTCCATTAGTGCAGCACAGCAATGCTGAAGCAGCTGCTGTTGTTTTTACCCAGCTTCCAAATAACCCAAATGAATAAGTACTGCAAGAGGATTCAGTACTTACTTGTTTGTGCTATTTGGGAGCTGGGGTGAAGCTGAAACCCTCCTACCTAAAGTGACAAGAAGAACTATGAAATGGTACATTGGTAAATGTGTTCTAAAAAGAGCAGTAAAGAAAGAAAAAAGTAATGGTTATCTTCTTAAAATTCTGTGAGATTTCAAACCAGTGATGGTCTGCATGTCAGGCAAATTTCATAACCACTACAGTAGTGAAAAAATCCTATAACAGTAGCTACACCAGACAATATTGAGCCAAATGGGCCAAATGCATTTTTGGCAAAATGCAAGAAACTGGTTGCTGTGCTTTTTGATGCTTTAACTTTCTATATATAAATTTAATACCTCTGATTCATAGGGTAACCATGCTAATGAAAGAAAAATCTGAGTTAAGCGAAATCTTAGGTGATTACACTTTTAAAGTCCTGTGGCATTTTTATCATCAATTAATGTAGGGTTCTCTTATTTCTCATCCCACAGCATTATGTAAACACCTCTATAAAGGTGATAGATAAAGATTCCCCCAGGTAGCTTGACTTCTGGTGAAAAGATTGACACCTCTTTGTAGTTTTTATGGCAGAAATTTCCTGTCATTGTTGCCTTCTGGATGTTTTTCAACTTCCCTGTCTAGCCTATAACCCTAAGATTTCTTGGTAGTTTCCTATCCAAGTATTAACCTGACCCTGCTTAGCTTTTGAGGGATCAACCAAACGTAACCAGAATCAGCTGGGCCTTGAACTGATACTCTTAGTGCAATGCTGAATATTTTTAATATTCTTTTCTACTATTCCCATTTGACCTGATGGAAGAGAATTTCTTTTGATGGAGAAGAACATTTCAAATAAATATTTCTGAGTGGAGTATAATACTTCTCCGCCCTTACTGCGTCTGCAGAGTGCCGCCCGGCGGTCCTGTTTGGGATCACCAGGTCCCTCTTTGGTAAGGGGGATGTGGTGGTTCATTTGCAGGGCCGCACGGA